TTAGGTTCAGTTTGTTCAAACTGGAAATGATTCACATCAGATCAAACATTTTGTGTTTAATCTACATTTATCAGTCAGATAAATGCAGATCTGTTCCAAAGTTAGCACTGTTGCCTCGCAGCAAGAAGGTTCAGGGTTTGAGCCCCGGGCGACCCAGCGCCTTTCTGTGTGGAGTCTGCATGTTATCCCTGTGCCTGCGTGGGTTCTCTCTGGGTACTCCAGCTTCCTCTCACACTCCAAAAACATGCAGCTTAGGTTGACTAGTGACTCTAAATTGCCTGTATGAGTGAGTGTGAGTGTCAGCCCTGTGAGAGACTGGTGACCTCTCCAGGGTGTACCCCGCCTCTTGCCCAGTGTCAGCTGGGATTGGCTCCAGCACCCCCCGCGACCCTCTTCATGATAAGCCGTATAGATAATGGATGGATGGATGGTTTGACCTTCTGGTCCATCTGAGTCACATACTGTAGAAAGCAATACACATCTGCTGCAATCATGAACAAATAGTGAACAGAGCAGCAGGAGGTGCAGGCAGTGCAGCTGCACCCACAGCCACAGGGGCTCAACAACATGAAATGGTCAGGAAGTTGAGGAATTAACAGGTCTGAACAACGTCTGAGAATTTATACCGCTGTGGACATTAGGGGTGGGACAATATATCGAGATACAAACACAAAACGTACCACTTAGTCTAGCGATATATAATCATGTGGTCTCAATACACCAGCGACTTAATATTTTTTGTAAATAAGATATCCTAACAAAACATAAATGAATCTGGTTATTCTTTACATAATCAACCAGTGCTAGAAAGAGAAAAAAGAAGAATAAAGTACATGTATTCCACAGCAAGACAGATATTGCTGCCATAGAATTTTTAAATTGTATTGTGATTGAATCAAATCATACATACCATACCGCACATCCAATTGTATCAAGAAAGAAAAATAAAAATTTCACTCTGTCCCATTCCTAGTGGACATACATCTACTCATCAAAAATATGGATTGTCAATTTACAATACAGTGGGCAGCACGGTGGCTCGGTGGTTAGCACTGTTGTCTCACAGCGAGAAGGCTCCAGGTTCGACTCATGTTGCCTAGTTACCCGCACAGAGTGGGTAATCATAAGAATCAAACTTCCTGGCGTTATGACTGATGCTCTTGCACCCTCTCCCGGCATTATAAAATTTCTCACTCTGGTTCCTTACTTGTTCAGATGACTGCTCATTAGACCCAACCCAATTGAAAACTGTGGTATTCCCATGTTCTTTTATCACCTTGTTCATGCAACTCTCCTTAACTGAAATCACCTCTGCTGCAGTGATAATAGTAAGCGATTAAAAAAATGTACCATCTTAAAACAATGTTATCATTTTTTAGTTACAGTTTAGGGTACCTCATCGTATGTATAATTAAAAACAAACAGGTTAGTGAGCATACAGGTCCCAAAGCACAACTTCATGGTGGTGAGTTTAATTGTGATCAATACTGCACTGGGGCGAACTCAGTTATTCATCAGATGATCAGTCTGAAATTGGTTAAACATGTTTTAAAAGGAAACTACACCCAATTTTCCTTTTGCTGTTGCAGGAGCCAAGAGTGTCTGTACTTTGTGGAGACTATTGGAATTGAGTAGAAAACTCACTACAGTCTTTCACTGTGTGAAAGTTAAAATGATGTAGCAGAGTGGCTCAACCAGGTGCAAACTAGCTCAGGTAATCAGGTGACTACTCCAAACATCTGGAGAATGGAGGACACGCCTTGTAAAAATTCCAGTAATGTGAGAATCTGCATGTCTCCCTTACAGCAGTTACAATACATCTGACACCGAGAAGTTTGAACTATTATTACCTGTGCTTGCATGGGTTCTCTCTGGGTGCTCTGGCTTCCTCCCACAGTCCAGAGACATGCAGCATAGGTTGACTGGTGTCTCTAACATTGCCCGTAAGTGTGATTGTGTGCGAGTGGTTGTTCGTCTGTGTGTTAGCCCTGCGATGGACTGGCAACCTGTCCACAGTGTACCCCGCCTCTCACCCGCAGCTGGCTGGGATTGGCTCCAGCCCCCCGTGACCCCGTTTGGGACTAAGCGGTTTAGAAAATGGATGGATGGAATTTACAATACACAACATCACTAAAATGTTCAGTAATTATAAATAATGTCCATACAGTACTTTTGCTTTCATCCGAAACCTAAGAAAAATGACTGAGGTCAATTTTACCCTCTATGCCACTTGCGAGACAGAAGTGGCAGCTACTATAATGAATGAAGAACGAGTGACTGGTACCATCACATTTAAACATCTGGGTTCATCTGAGGCAAGAAGGCTGCATAGTAACGGCAAATTTCTCTGACCAATAGGTAGTCTGCAGTGTTTACATGTCACTCACTATTTGGCATCGCCTCAGCTTGCTTGGAACCTCAATGGAGGGGATGCCAAAAACAGTACCAGGTACTATCCCCCGATTTCCACTGGTCCTTCCACCAATTCAGAAGCTCTTATCCATCTGTTTTTCAATGCAAGAATATGTAAATAGCAAATTCTGCATGGTGTTATCTCCTGTCTACTTGCCTTTTATATGATGCCAACCTAACTACCAGCTAAATAAATTAAAGCATTTCAACCATAAATAGTGTTAAAACACATCAATACTGTGTGGCCAAGTTTAGCTTTAATCAGTGCAGCAGGAGACATATATTACCCTTGAGGATTACCATAGATATACAGTATGTACTGCTGGCACCATTCGGTACATCTGATCTGTAGTAGCCATAGGTACATGTACAGTACATGGAAAACTAGAAAGGTTCGACTCATGTTGCCTAGTTACCCGCACAGAGTGGGTAATCATAAGAATCGAACTTCCTGGCGTTATGACTGATGCTCTTGCACCCTCTCCCAGCATTATAAAATTTCTCACTCTGGTTCCTTACTTGTTCAGATGACTGCTCATTAGACCCAACCCAATTGAAAACTGTGGTATTCCCATGTTCTTTTATCACCTTGTTCATGCAACTCTCCTTAACTGAAATCACCTCTGCTGCAGTGATAATAGTACTTTTTGAATCGCTTACTATCTTAAAACAATGTTATCATTTTTTAGTTACAGTTTAGGGTACCTCATCGTATGTATAATTAAAAACAAACAGGTTAGTGAGCATACAGGTCCCAAAGCACAACTTCATGGTGGTGAGTTTAATTGTGATCAATACTGCACTGGGGCGAACTCAGTTATTCATCAGATGATCAGTCTGAAATTGGTTAAACATGTTTTAAAAGGAAACTACACCCAATTTTCCTTTTGCTGTTGCAGGAGCCAAGAGTGTCTGTACTTTGTGGAGACTATTGGAATTGAGTAGAAAACTCACTACAGTCTTTCACTGTGTGAAAGTTAAAATGATGTAGCAGAGTGGCTCAACCAGGTGCAAACTAGCTCAGGTAATCAGGTGACTACTCCAAACATCTGGAGAATGGAGGACACGCCTTGTAAAAATTCCAGTAATGTGAGAATCTGCATGTCTCCCATACAGCAGTTACAATACATCTGACACCGAGAAGTTTGAACTATTATTACATTAAACTGATGGGAACACAGCAAACGATTGTGAAATGACCGTATGACCTACTCTGATCACAGGTTTCAACCCAGACAGTTACAGAATTACACACAGTGTAGTCACATACTGCTCTTCATCAAGAACCTAAACAGGTGGGACTTGCTTGGACAAAACCAGACGAAAGTGGCATCCATAATCTGATCTTAGATGATCTTTGCATGTCAAAGTTTGAGATTTGATAGCACAGGATAGATCAGCTAAAGCATGACAGGGGTTTGATAACTAGCACTCTACTGTTGGGCAAAATCAGCAGCGTTTTGGCTTAATACAGTAAAATAATAACACTTTAGGAATTAGACCATTCTAAATAGACAACTGTTGTTATCTGTTCACCCATCACACTAGGGCTTAGGAATTCTTGCACAGTTCTTTCAGTTTTTAAAAGGCACAGGATATAACAGCCACAAATACAGCAGTATAGAAAGTGTATAAAAGAGGGTGATTTATATAAAATAAGGCATGTATTACACAAGAAAGTAACTATCCTAGGAGGGGTGGCGATAACAAAGGAGTGATGCTGACCCCATGGGGGAACATAACATAATGAGGAGAAGATCAATTAATTAAAATGATTCATTTTAAGAGCACCAACAGTCATAGCCAAATTGCTGAAACAAGTATATCAATACTAACCAGCACCAGATAAACTGCAGATTAAAAAGCTTACATGATTATTTATCTTTTACAAAATGTAACTTCACATATTCTGGACCAACATCAACCTGTTGTGCTGATTTATAGCCAACTGTCAACAACAGCCAAGGCAGGAAACCATCAGCTACATCACATGGAGACGGAGAGACTCTGTACGACATTATCACATCTTTTTTTTTAATTATCTAAATTCTGATAAATCTGTGATACAACCAACAAATTGCATGAACCGTCACGCTACCAGTTGGCGCTAGGATTAAGGCGGGCGAGCATCAATATTTAATAGAGAAGAGGGAACGCTACTCTGGATACCATGCAATCACAAATGACCAAAATGATGTATGAGATGAATATGTGTCTGCTAGTGAGAGGTTTAGTCCCTGTAGTTCCACCCGGGAGTCATTTGACAGCCAGTGAAAGGCCGCGTTTGGTTAGCAGTGGTGAATTTTCAGCAGTTTGGCACAGAGGAAAGAAAAAACAGCACTGAGACATTAGTAGCCTGGGAACTGTTATGTCAAGAACTACCTCTGCTGCTCACAGCACCAGGAATATTTCCACCCCACGGACATTTTTTACATCGCAACCGCAACAATATAGAAGAAAGTTAAACAGCCGTAGGCAAAGCAGGAAATAGCCTAAAAGCCACCCAAATACCAAGACAGGACTGCGCGTCCTTACCTGAAACTGGGCTTTTTAGCACTCTCCGTTCTTCCAGTCGGAGTCACACAGATTTGTTTTCACACGACAACCATGGTCCCAACAGTGAGGGAAAATGCCAAAGGACGTGTTAATTTTATGAGAATGTAATCAGTTTAAAGGGTCAGAAAGGAGCGCGAATCGGCTCGGACTTGACTAAAATTTTTCACCAAGCAAGCTAATCACCACACCCATGAAAGTGGGAACATGGCAACAGCCTACGCTGAGGGGTGTGTGGTGGTGAATAGATTGATATTTCTGTTTTCTAACCAATATAGATGGTTATACAATATCAGTATATTAATAAATTACCATATATTTATGCCACTGCTTCACTACACTCGGTAATAATATTTTCTTCAGCTTGGGGAAATGTCTGAATTTGGTTGTGTAACCTACTGGCGAAATGGTACTGCCTGTCAGCCCCCTCAACAAAAAGGAACCGAATGGATACAGGAAACAAATATTAGAACTATAAAGCTTGCTGTAGTATGGACTTCACAGGTTTGTAAAGCCAGTTTTTTGTCCAACCTCCACTCTTTAGTGTGTTCAAATACCACTACACTGAATAAACAGCCATGAAACTATATTCTTATTTTTACAGATGGAGGTGAGGAAAGTAGTCTTTAAGCTACTCTAAGAATGTAATCTGTTACAACTTGCTTTGTGACTTCCCAGGTATAGGTTTATATCAAGAGTCAGAAAATACAGAGCAGGGAGATGCAATGCATAAAGCTGGGGTGAACTCAGCATCATGATATCAATAAGAACATTTTTCAGATATCGATATACTGTACATTGCCATATGGCAAACTCACATACATACAATATTCAGTTAATGTTCAAGGCAATGTGTTCCTCTGTTTGGTGATAAATATAAGTAAAATAAAAACTTTAGCAACAATTTTTACATTACAAAACATTCATCAAAAAATACTGAAATGTGCCACAATTCCCAAAGTATAACATACAATATCTTTAAACCACTTTCAATCAGAAAATCTAGCAAATCCTCACATTAGAGAAGCTGTGACATTTAAGTTGCATAGTTTATTTAAACCACTGATTATCAAAATTGTTCCCACTTAATTTTAAATCACCTATAGGGACTTTACTTTATGACCTGTCAGCACTGTTGCAAAGTTGTGCTTTCTTTGTCTTTTTTTTTTTTGCATTAAAAACTTTCAAACAGGACAAAAACGCCAACCAAACAAAGTGCAGAAGTAGTCGTAAATATAATCTGGTTAATAGGCAGCTATTCAGAGACAGGTTTAAACTGAGAAATCTCTAAAACTGATATCAGCCAAATGAGTCTGCGTGTTTGTGTTTTAGTGCTAAAACAGTTGGTCAATCAATTATTAATCAGCAGAAAACTAACCACCAAAAATGCCAAACATTTTCTGGCTCCATCCTCAAATATGAGGATTTTCCTGTTTTATATTGGTGTAAATTCAGCATTTTTGGCATCTGGTCTGTTGAGTAATTTAAAGGCACTATAACAGTGTGATGGGGATTTTTATTTTTATTTTATTTTTTACTATTTTCTGACATTTTATAAACCACTTATTAAACAATGAATCAACAGATTGATAATAAAATTATTTATAAGTGATACCTCTAGAATGTGTAAACAAATTTTCATTTGCACAGATTAGTCAGTGTGTAACTTAAGGTAGCACTGGCATGAAACTCCAAATCAATTCACTCTGCTCCACCCAGCACTCCCTCCTACTGCTCTACTACCATCTGCTATGTTCTACCACGCTCTGCCCAGCTCTTCAGATATTTATCGTTATGACATTACAATAAATGAAGATATAACAAAACTTATTGATCAAGCACAAATTACTGAAGATTTCGGAGTGGTTAGATAGGTCAATCCCACTCAAAACCTTTTAGATGCTAATATCCCTGCTCTGCTGCCAGTGCTGTTCAGTGAGTCTGGGTCACAAGAGGCTTCGGCAGCAACTCTCCACATTAAGACAAGTTTTGGAGCATATTTCTACAACAAAAATATCTGAAATAAAAGTTAAATAAAGTAGTTTTAATGAGCAACTTTTTGATAACCATTTTATTTTTAAGTTATTGTGTAAGTAAAAATGATAGGAATTTACTAATTCGTGCTTCTGAAATGTGAATGGATAGGACTGGAATAAATAAATGAAATGAAACCTTTTCTTCATTCTTTCTATCTTTGGGTTTTAGAGTATTGGTCAGACAAAACCAAACTTTTGAAGATGTTACCATGGGCTTTGGGAACTTGTGGTGTGTATGCTAGTATAGAACAGATCAGTTACTATCTTGAACCCAACCAAAAGGTAAACTCAGAGCTGTAAAGTTTAGATTGTGCCAGGAGGCAGATGTGCCAAGTCTCACCCTGCACACCACAGTTGACTTGCAGTGGGCTCATTGAAAAGGATCTCTCTCCATTAGGACAGGATGAATTTTTAATGGGCCCAATGAAAGGGAGCAGTGGGATAGGCTTTTCCATATCTCTGCACGAGCCATAATCAATGGAGGGAAGATGAAAGTTACCCAGCCCTTGGCTTCCTTTTCAGAGAGGCATGTGGTCAGATTAAGTCTAATTGAATTCACACACACAGCAGTAGTTTAGGTGTGTCAGACCAATTTCCCCCCAAACACATCACGAGGATTAGGATTAATATGGTAGCAGAGACACTTGTTGTGGTTGGTTTAGTGCAGCTTCTTTTTTTCTACAATAATCATTAGTGCAGCCTGAAAATATTATTAAATAATTTAAAGAATATTAAATATAACACCTTATTTATACATTATGTGATTGATTGATTAATGGACTTGAGAAATAATTTTATTTTACTTTAATGCAATTACAATAAATAGAATGGTTATAGACACTCTGCATGAGATTGAATATCCTCACATAAAACTTCAATTCACACATAAGATTTTAGTTAGATGACACATACCAACTCTGGTTCTATATCAGAAACAAGATGCCATACACCTTCACAATAATCATGACATTTGATTGGGTGTACTGTTACTGTCAAGTGTAGGAGTGATGATATGCTGTCTGGTTTTTCCCATAGCTTGTTTTAAAGATGAGATAATCTTGGGTCAGCCTAAGATTTTTGTAATGTCATATCTGAAGTTGCTCAATAAATGTAATAATGACTGCTTCAGGTACATGCGCAGCTGCGATGCTATTCTAGTTATATGATAGGTTTTAATAAACAGTCAATTCATTTCTGCGAGATTTGTAGATTTGGACCATAGATTGATTGTACAGAGAAATTTATTTTAAAAAACTACATAAGAAGGAGTTTGTCTCTGCCTAGTGAGCAAAAAGACAGACTTTATTAGCCAGAGGAGAATTAGAGCCAGGGTGTCTATAAGCACATCCTTGGCGAATCAGGTCCCTCAACCCATTGCTTGGCAACCAGAAGGAGAGGGAGGGAGCAAATTGACACTTTAAAAATAGCACATCGATAGCCTGGAGTCTGAAAAAATAGAAAGACACATGTTGTGAGGCTATAAATAGCTTATTGGAGCATAGAACAGGTATCATGTACAGTATCTCAACCGTTGCCTACTCATGAGACATTTTTGCATTGATGCAAATTCAGCATGGGTTGTGCACAAATAACTGAGTACAGTAAAAGTGCAAAGTACAGTAACAGTCAGGCAGCTGAAAGAAATAATTTGAATGTGAGGGCTAAGCAAAAGTAAAAATAGTTAACCCATCCCTTTATTACTGTGTAAACACCATGCCAAAACTAACTCAGGTTGGTTCAGCTTTTCTTCATCCTACTGTTTCCCATTTGCATTAATGCAAAATTAATATACGACCTCTGCTGCAATAATAAATTTGAATATACTTCAACAAGCACTGAAGTGCATGGACAGGTTTGCATGCCAGAAAGAGTTTAGGGTTTAAAAGCTTACATGAATATCTAGGATGATGGTATTACAACGAGCATGCTGTATCTTTACATATTATCACTACACTGTCTCATTGTAAAAATTTGCTTCCACGCGTGTCTTTTGTGTAGGTAGGACTTTACTGATCCCACAATGGGGAAATTCCTGTGTTCCAGCAGCAATCGAGAGCAGAAACAAGACACCATAAGAACAAACACCACACACGTCTTGAGAAACAAATTCCAAAGTACCTAAAACCAAACAGAATATAGTATTTGAGAGTCAATCAAGAATAAGAATGATCCTCCCACAATGAATCCCTGAGAACAAATCAAGATACCTAAGAACAAGACAAAATATAGTATTCAAGAGATCAAGAAATCAAGGACAAGAATATTACTCTCATAATTAATCCAACAATGGGGGAAATACCTATATTTCAGCCACGAGGATCTCTGAAAAACTACTCAAAAATACCTAAAACAAGACAAAGTATTTGAGAGAAATCAAGCACAAGATTGTACACGTGCCTATTTACAATGCACTTTACAATGTGTAACAGAAGAGTAGAGCAAAACACGGCCAAAAATAGATCTATCATGTCCAATTCAGTTTCACAGGTCTGCTGTGGGTGAAATTAAGTGGAGATAAAGTGACATCTATCTGAAGCAGCCTATTTTAATCCACATGCTCCCGTTTTTTTGCCCACATGTGGCGACACGCCCTGATGACCTCCATGTAATACTTCCACTGTATCAAAGGCAATTAAAAGGTATAGCAACAGTAGAACCTTAAAAGGCGTTATCAGGGCAGTCTTATCCACCAGATATCTCACGGGGAGGCTGGCCGTTGCCAGGGTAACCCTCACAAATGGCAACTGACGTCAAGAAGGTAGGAGAAATACCAGGGAGAGCCAGAGCTGCTATGCATAATGGATTATTGAAAAAAGAGCCCTCTTGAAGAGAGCAAAGTGACTTAAAATATGCATGCCTTGTGGAGCTGACCACTTCTCTCTCTCCTGCTCTGTCTGTGATGAGGAAAATAGATGTTGACAATTTTAGGGTTTGACTTGCTGACTGGTACAGCTTGGGCCAGTTGAAATTATTCATCTCGAGTCCATGCTACAGATGAACTCTCCCTTTATAGGACACATTACGGTCTTTTTTTCCAGAAATGGGCAATTCTATATAATTGTTATGTTGCTTGTAAATAGAAGTACTTTTTCTCCTTTATTTTCCAGTATTCTGTTAAGTTTCGCAAACAAAAAAAAAAATCCTTCTTTTCTGTACTACTTACCCATTCTAAACAAAAGAAAGAGAGCTCTGTCACACCAAATATCACTATCCTCAGCAGATCCCTTGTTGGTCATGTAACAAGGATCCACAGTGACACTAATGCCTAAGGTCTCAGAGATGATCACTTCAAATCATATTTGAATTGAGCATAGCTACCAGCAGTTTACTCTGTCCCTGTGCTGAGTTCTTGTCTAATCTCAGTGCTATTGTTGGCCCATAGAGACGGTCACACCAGCAGGTTGGTGAAGAGCCCTCATCGTTTCTGTGATAATGCCTCTCATGCTGTGTTGGAATCATGACAAACAAGACACTGACTGTGGAGTCTGGTTTGTTGATGGCAGAAGACAAGAATCGTTACTATCCAAATGAACACAACAGGGCAGAGCATTCGTGCTATAGAGATCCGACATGGGGTCCCTTCAGGAGAAGAGATAGGTCAAACTGACAAAATTACTATCATGATAATCAGTGGTGGAAAGACAAGTACTCTACCTAAGTATAATTTTGAGGTATTTGTACTTAAGTGCTTCACTTGTATGTTATTTGTTTTAGGGGGAAACTTTGCACTTTTTACCCCACTACATTTATTTGAGAGCTTTAGTTACTAGTTTGCAGATGCATATTCTTAACACAAAATGTAATCATCTAATAAATTATAATGTATTGTTGTAGCCACCTGGTAGTAGATAAAGTAGTCACTATTAGCCCCACCTTTACCAGCTGTAATATTAGTGATGTTTATGCTTTAATGCATCAATAATTATAAACCAATAATAGAATATAGATGACATATAGTAGGACTTTTACTTATAACAGAATATTTCTACACTTTAATGATTGAACTTTTACTTAAGTAGAAGATCTGAGTACTTCTTCCAATACTGATGATATTGTGATGTGATTCACCCACACAATATATTTGAATTAAAAACTAAGTTTTTATAGAAGAACTTGGTCTTAATAGAAAATTAGCATTAGCTCATACACAATTAAGCGCAAAAACATATATAACTGAACAAAAAGTAGGAGCAGAGATGATACATGACAATATTAAATAACTGGTGACATTAAAGTTGAGGTCCAAGTCATTTCTCTGAACAGTAATATCAACTTCAGTAGTAAAAGCAAAACAAAGAAACAAACAAAACAGAATGTCACTGGCATATATGTTAAAATTTCTCATATTACAAACATATACCTATATGTATAAGGTGAGTGCAATATTTAATACCAAAAGAATTGACTTCTGAGGCAACATGCTCTTAAAATACAACATCAAAAATGTTTCCTGTCAAAATATCTGTATTAGCTGCTGCCAATAAAAGAACCCGTGGTGTGTAAAAGTCAATTAAAATCAGGATGAGTAGGTCTGAAACTTTTGTTTAAAGAAAGAAGCTGCAGAGGAAATGTGCAAAGAGAAGAAGTGAGAGTTTCAGTCCAGGGGAATCCCAGACAGCAACAGGCAGCACAAAGCATGAAATACCATGTTCGAACTTTCCTAAGAGGTGAATCACACAAGTCATGTATTGGGAAAAACAAAAATAAAGGAAGTGAGGAACAACCCTGATGTGCTAATGCCAGTATGCCACCCTTTTCAAATGCCTCCCATCACAGCTGCAACGCTATAATACCAGATGATCATTAATTTATTATCATGAGCCCACAATTATTTTGACTTGACATTTTGGCGCACCGCAGGTTCAGAACAAGAGATAAGACCAAGGTATTACCTCCTAGCTTACTTGAAAACCAAACACAACCCTTGATTCAATATATACCGATTGGGTTGACAAGTTCAACAAAATGCCATGCTCAAGTTTTTCCTCTTTAATTCTGCAATTGTAGCTGAAACGTTAGTTCTGGCTCCACGACCTCCTCCATTTTAATTCAAATGCTGCATTCAGTGCTGATTTCAGGAAACATAGTTCTGATCTTTTGTTAAAATAAAAATATTCCCAACAGAAGGAATATGCTTCTTTGTGCTTTTTCCCAAGATACACAGTTTTTTAATTTCACACTCACCCTGGCAGTTGTGAATTTGCTGTGGTAGTACATCACAGATGAATGAATCCAGAGGCAGAGGAAACACCAAACAGTGTACTCACTAGTTCAAACCAGAAACTCTGCATTTACAACTATAATATAAGCTTGTTTACCTTTTTCCAGTGCAGCTGAGTAGCGCAGCAGAAGAAGTGGGCGTTTTCTGCATATGTCCTAAATGGCATGGATTATGAGTCGTTCAGAGCGCTGTGGTTTCAGTTCTTCCTTTCAGCTGTGAGTGTACATGCCACAAGGAGGAGCAATAAATGGCAAGAGCGAGAGAGCTGGAGTATGAGATACAGAGCTCCTGTGTGGGAGGGTGAGCGCATGGACGATGGGAGCCAGAGTAGTATTTTTATTAAAGGGACAGAGTTTATTTCTTCAGTATCATAGCTAAATAAATTGCACACTAAGTTGAAAAAATGATCTGCCACTGACAAACATGTTGCAGCAGAGTTGCAGGAAGGGTGCATGGTTAAGGTTACTCCAACAGATCATGTTTTCCACAAAATTCAGTACATACATACATACAGGTAACAAACTAAAGGAAATGCCAGCCTAAGGTGTAAGGATTTGGGTCACCACATGCAGCCAGAATAGCTTTGGTGCTCCTTGGTACAGAATCTATAAGTCTCTAGACTCTACTGGAAGGATGAACACCATTCTTCCAAAAGATATTCCCTCATTTGGCATTGGTACAAAATCTCCCTTTGGTGTTAGGGTTGAGATCTGCTGACTGTGAAGACCAAAGCATATGATTCACATTGTTTTCATAATCATCAAACCATTTAGTAACCCCCTGTGCTCTATGAATAGTGGCGCTGTCATTCTGGAAGATCTCCCATCAGGAGAGAAATATTTCATCACTGGATAAAGGTGATTTTGTGACTGTTCCCTGTAAAGGCACAAGTGGACCAAAATTATACCAGCATCAGAATTTATCTCTCTCCACTCATTTATTCACATTTTTCCTATAGTCACACATTTAGTAATATTACACTGAATGTAGACACAGCTCTGTTTTCAGGAACAAATTGTTAGAATTTGTTACAGGTCAAGGGGAGCTAGTGTTTCTTAGGGTCTCCACCCAGCATACATGGAGATTCTAAGCCCTCCTCAAAATCAGGCACAGTGCGCGCACACACACACACACACGTGTGTGTGTGTGTGTAAACCTGGATAGCCATGACTTTCTCTAATTTAATCTCTATACCCATTTCTATATTAACATTAACTACTGTATTTCATAACCCTTCTGAATCCCAAATAAATATAAATTTGTTCTTAAGAACTCAGCGTTAAAGGCAATAAAGTAAGAAATACTGTAACTGTTGCTTCTCTAAATTGTAATGGGGGTTAAAAAAAAAGAAAAAAGCCAATCGAGTCCATATGTTAACAAGATGCCTTTTATTATTTGATAGCTTTGAAAGCATACAGAGTGCATTTGATGCAAAGAACAGTATTTTAATGTTGCAACAGAGATCAATAGCAAAACGATCAATAGCTATCTTCTGTTAAACTTTTTTGTTAGCAATTTGTGATCATAGAAAACTTCTGTGTGATAAGATCTGCAGTACAATCAAACTGTTTAAGGTTTTGACAGTCAATTGCCAAAACAATGTACATCTGCACCTTTATTGGCCACCATATTTGAATTTACAGTAATATCTGCTCCAGTTTTTATCCTCAAAATAAAGGTAAGATTTTTTTAATATACATTATCTGGTACAGTGCTCTCACTTTCCAAGTGTTTGTACAAAAATGCACACCACTTATTTGGAAAAACCTTGTTTGACACGACTATTTTGAAACTGTTATTCAAATCCAGGCTGGATTAATACCTGAAGCAAGGACCAAATTTGATACAACACCAAAATTATTCAAACTTTTACTCAATTCAAACTGATCTCTGAAGGGCCTAAAATGCAAAAACAAATGTCTTGAATTTGTTACGCAACACAATATTAGTAAAAAGAAACATTTAGTGTTGTCCTTTTGGGCTCAATGAATGCTTCAACAACGTTCTGCTTTGTGGCTTCACTCAAACTTGATTCCCTGGGCCAGAGGAAGATCCTTGCTGTAATTTATTGTGCATGTGGAACGTCTCATGTACTGCTTCCATGAATCACTGCCAGACTCTCTTCCACCTCCTGTGTGTTTCTCCCCACCAAAGGCGCCTCCGATCTCAGCTCCATTTGTAGGAATGTTGACATTCACGATGCCGCAGTCAGATCCTTTGGGCCCCAGCCAGCGGAAAACCCGGCCAATATCTTTGGTGAAAATACTGCTGGACAGGCCCTGCTTGACCTCGTTGTTCCAAGCAAATGCCTCCTCTTCTGTCTTGAACTTGAGGATGTACAGGATGGGGACAAAGGTTTCTGTTTGAACAATGGGAGCATTGTGAGGAAGCCCTGTGATGATGGTGGGCTCTACATAGTTTCCAGGACGATCTACCACCTTTCCTCCACAGACCACTTTGCCGCCCTGCTGCTTGGCCTGCTCAATAGCTTTCAGATACTGATTCACAGCTTCTTTGGTGTGCAGAGGTCCATACAGGGTGCTAGGTTCCCAGGGGTCTCCGATACGGACTTGTTTGAAGGCCTTGGCGATCCTCTCAACCACTGTGTCGTGAACAGTCTCGTGCAGAATCAGCCTCCTTGTTGTGGTGCAGCGCTGGGCAGCAGTTGCCACAGAAGCAAAGACAGCAGAGGGCACCACAAGATTCAGGTCAGCATCCTCAAACACAATGAGAGCATTGTTGCCACCAAGCTCCAGCAGCTTACGACCGAACCTTTCCTGCACCATCATGCCCACCATCTTGCCAACATGAGTGCTGCCAGTGAATGACAGCAGATCCACACGCTCATCCTTCGCCATGGCTGTGCCGATATCAGCACCTCCACAGGTCATGGAACAGATCGCTCCAGGCAGGTTGTTCTGCTCTAGCACCTCAGCCACAATCTTGGTAACTGCAACACTTGTGAGAGGTGTGGTTGGAGCTCCTTTCCAGAGGCATACGTTGCCGCAGATCAGAGCGATAGCATTGTTCCAGCCGTAGACAGCTACAGGGAAGTTAAAGGCAGTGATGATGCCGACAAGACCAACTGGGTTCCATTGTTCGATCAGAGCATGGCCTGGTCTTTCTGAAGGAAGGATAGGCCCACCAATCATTCTAGACAAACCAACAGCATAATCACAAACATCAACATACTCCTGAACTTCACCCACTCCCTCAACATAGATCTTGCCCATTTCTAGAGACACGAGGCTCCCGAGGACTTTGATCTTCTTTCTAAGTGCATCTCCAATCTGCCTAACAATCTCCCCTCTTTTCGGAGCTGGAATATCTGCCCAAGCCTTCCAAGCCTCCTTTGTCTTCTGGACGGTTTCTTCATACTCTGCCAAAGTAGCCTGGGTAACTCTGGCGATCGGCTCATTGTTGGCGGGGCAGTAAGATGTTATGACTTCCCCGCTGCCACCCCAGCTCCCGTTGTAAACACCGGGGTTGTCCTCAGACAGGCCCAGCTCTTTCAGCCATGAGTATTTGGGTTGGTTGATGAGCAGACCTGACATGGCTGCTGAGTGCTGGCAGTTGACAAATTTATTTCTCAAGAGGAGCCTGCTGTGCCGTGCAAGGGTCAGAGTGAGACAGCGCTGCATGGGTGCTGCAAGCAAACCAAGTTAAACATTTATTTGTAGTTTAAAAAGTTTGGTGAACATGAACAAGGTAAAAGATAAACTTTCAATTTTAAATTATCCTAACAACTGTAGCAAGTTCTCCAACATACTTGAAAAATGGTGCAAGTACACCTGGGAGAACTGGTGCCATTTTGGGGGATGGCCCCACTAAATATTGATTTCTTTATTTTTTGTTTTTAATTTACTGCACTTTGTATGAAATTAATAACTAATGTAACTCCTACAATTCATTTAAAAAACTTTTTAATGTATTAAACTTTTAACAGTACTGTACACACTGTATAAAGCACCAAATTTACTGAGGCTACACGTTAAACACTAAACCATGTTTTATGTTGGGATGGTCTTATGGCTTATACAACCATCGATCCATTCTTTAACTAGATGACCTTCAAGTAACTCAACCACATCCACTAAATGCGGTTGCGCAGTTAATTAAACATTCGACCACAACTTGACCGGTCGAGGCAGAAGGCCGCCCACCAAGAGCCGGGGTCTGTCAGAGGTTTCTTCCGTTAAAGGGAGTTTTTCCTCCCCACTGTCACCAAGTGCTTGCTCAAGGGGGATTTGTTGGGTTTTCCCTATGTAATAATATTGATAACAGTAAGGTCTAGACCTTACTTTGTAAAGTGTCCTGAGATGACGTATGTTGGGATTTGGTGCTATACAAATAAAATTTGATTTGATTTGACTTGGAACTTATTTATAATATAGAAATAGTACAATTAACACTGACAGTATCACAGAAAAAATGGCTTCTAGGTTGCACTGGCATGAGTGCGTTGCTATTTTAGCAGCATGAAATAGCATGGTCGCTGAGACGTGCTGCAGGCTACCTCAGTCCTGCTAGTTCACAGCCGCTAATATCGTCGTTCTGTTTTAACATATGAAATTACGCTCTCTACAGACACATTTTTAGTCGTTAAAAGGAAGTTTATACCACTTATGATCAGATTTCCACTCACGTTCGTATGAAATCCTGAGGTGCACAGTGCCACGTTCACTTTACAGCATAGCTAAACTTGTTGCCATCAAACGGAAGTAATGCTATTGTTCTGCGTTCTGATTGGACAGCGGTCTCGACGCAGTGTGGCGCCTGCTTTGTTAGATTGATCCATGCTAACAGCGTTTCTTTGTTGTGATTATAGCGGTTTTGTTTCTGTTGTAATAATTTTATTGGGAACGTTGTTGTGGTGATAATTTAGAGGATGAGTGGCGGAGTGTATGGAGGCGGTGAGTGGGATTCCATGTTTAAAATATATCGAAAGAGTTGTTCACGTTGTCCCGTTTTGTAGCGTTAACTAGCTGTAGGGATAGCAAGCTATGCTAGCTTCGCTAACATTTAGCTCTGTGGTAAGCTAAAGCCACGGCGTTGATAACATTCGTAATCGTATTTTTCTAAGAACGTGAATTTGTTATCACTATAAGTGTGTCGTATTGTTGCTTAAAGTTAGTTTCTGTATGCTACAATAATGTAAACCAGCCCTCGCGATACCCTAGGTCGCTGGCTAGAAAGGAAATGAATGAAAATTCATCATGGACTCTTCGGACTTGTGTGTTTAACGGTAACGTTTTGTATAGCTTCCTTAGAAGTGGAGATAAATGGTTCCAAGAATCTCACGGTGATTTAACTTAAAGATAGAATTTATATTTACCGATAGCTATGTTTCCCGTTCTGCAGACTTCTACTAGATTGGCACTGTCTGTGGAGCCATAGCCTTATTTAGGATGAAATGGCAAAAATGGCAATGTCATGATCTGCTGAACATTCTAAATTATATTACTTGTATATTGGCATGATGAAATGTTTGTTTTGTGTTGTTTAGATGAGTGTGTCAGTTTTGTGTTCTGTGTGATGGTGTATAGGGTCAAGACAAATTTTATTTATATAGCACAATACCACAAATTTGCCTCAAATGCTTTTGCAATCTGTACAGCACATGATATCCTCAATCCCTAGACTCTTGAAATGGATAAGGAAAAACAGCCCACCAAAAAAACCTATTCATGGGAATAAACAGAAATGTGGGGTGGGAAGGTTTGTTTGAGGATATGCTTTCTTTTCTTTCTGACTGCTTTTTTCCATAGATAAAATTAAGTAACATTTGTCATTTTAGAGACCCCAAAAGTATGTATTTGTTGAGGAAGTAACTGCTTCCTTTAGATAGATAATTAGTTCACATATGCTGATATACTGTACATCATTGCATCTCTAGATGTAATTGTGAAAATTAATGTTAAATAATTTGCAGATGAAATTGGGTTCACAGAACTTCTCTTATTTCTGTAGATGAAGTGGGAGCTTTGGTGTTCGACATCGGCTCTTATTCTGTAAGAGCTGGTTATGCAGGAGAAGACTGTCCCAAGGTAAGTGGATCAGTCCAGTGACCTGAATAACTATGTGTCTTTTCTTCCTCTGTGCATCTTCATCTTCCCTCCTGGGGTACACCAGTGTCACATAATGAAGGCTGTCACTCTGGAGACAAATCGCATAAATTGAGTTCAGATCATTCTGGAGTACTTACTTGGTTTTGTCATACACTATCAGTCGGGGTTTTTTTACGGGTATTTCGCTGAGGGTTATTGCCCAGTCATACTATCGTGGGTCAAGTGTTCGTCAGAGTGACAGCCTGGGTCCAGACGGGAGGAGTTCAAACAGATTATGTCCAGGATGTGAGGGGTCTGCAGTGATCCCCTCCTTTTGACCCGTGAGGTGTACAGGTTCTCCATGCACCAGTGATCTTTTCTGTAGTCCTGACAGTCTGCTGAAGTCTGTACTTGTCCTGTTTGGTTGCTGAGCCAAACCAGACAGTGATGGACGTACAGAGAACAGACTCGATGATTCCTCTGTAGAACTCTTGACTTATTCAGAAAAGAACTACACCGTTTACAAGTTCTTCAAAGACTATGTACCTTGTTTGCAGTTTAGTTGTATGAATAGTAGTTTCATTCCCGAGCACCACCTCCTTTCATACTGTCTATGTACTGTCTTAGTTTTATCTGGGAAACAGAGAACATTTAATCATTATAACATGATTCTACTGAAAGCGGATAATTCATGGTTTTGATTTGAGCTGCTGTAATGGAAAAAGCCTCCACCCAGGTCCTGGTCTGGTACTTTTTAGTATTTCCAAACAGCTGCACTGTAAGTCAGAGGAGCACTGATTCATATTACAGCACCTTCAGTGTTTCACAAAAATGGGAATTTATTCATTCAGTGTTTGGGACATGGATGAACTTCTAATACAACCCCAAATCAGAAAAAGTTGGGATAGTATGTAAATGGTGATGTGTAAATCATCTGTGTCCTGTGTCAGGCACTACAATATGGATAAATGCTGCTTAAAAATAAATTTGGGGAGTTTCTGACAGCGCTTATGCCGAGGTTTGACAGTGTCCTGATCTATGGCGACTGTAACATCCGCATCCACTGCACCTCTAATCAGCTGGCAAAAGACTTTAATGCCCTGTTGGAATCCCTGGATCTCTCTCAGTCAGTAGACTGTCCCACCCACCGACGAGGACACATGCTGGATCTGGTCATCTCACGTGGTTTCAAATTTGTGTAATTTTAACATGATTTCCTTTCCGTTAGTTTGTGTCTTAACATGTTCTTTTTTTATTTTTATATGTTTTGCTGTGAAGCACTTTGAGCACCCTTGGGGGCTTCAAGATGACGTCTTTTCCAGGGACACTCATACATATTTCAAAAACCTCATCCTGCACACATTACTAAGACCTGGCTCTGGAGGAAATGGTGTGAGTGCTGGACTGGCCTGCTTGCAGTCCCGACCTGTCCCCAATAGAGAATGTGTGGCACATTTTGAAATGCAAAATGTGTCAAAGACGCAGCACTGTGCTCCTTCAGACTTGTTTGCAGGAAGAATGGGACAAAATTACACGACACACTTAATCACTTGGTGTCCTGGGGCCCTAAATGTCTTTTAAGTGTTGTGAAAAGGAACAGCAACATCACACCGCGGTAAATGCTTTACTGTCCCAACTTTTTTTGGATTGTGTTGCAGGTATCGGAATTGAAGTGAGTGTTTATTTTGAACAAAGAATAAAATCGATGAGTTGCCACATAAAATAATGTGCTGCTGTATTGTTTTCAGTGTAATACAGGACACAGATTTACAAATGACTATTTTCAGCTTTAATTTTGATTTTACATACTGTCCCAAATTCTTCCAAGGTTTTATCCAATTTGTACCTTTAGGTCACTGCCAGGAAACTGATAAAATAAGCATGTGGGAAAGTGTCTTGACCAGCTTTGGGCCCTCTCTTATTTTGGCCTGGCTCAGGCGGACTTCCCCACCGTGATAGGTGTGACCCTTGACCGAGAAGATGGCAGTACACCCATGGAGACGGATGGCGACAAGGGCAAGCAGAGCGGTACCACCTACTATATTGACACCAACCAGCTGAGGGTTCCCAGAGAGAACATGGAGGTCATGTCTCCGCTCAAGAATGGCATGAGTGAGTGCTCAATTGATATGTATTTTATCGCTAATTAGGGTCCAATTTTTGTCTTGTAAGTGCTGTTTCCTTGGTTGGTTTCCAAGGTTTCCTCTTGTTAGTTGTTCATCCAAACCCAGATGTGGGTCAGATGTCCAGAGCCAAATCTTCTGTAACCAGAACAGATATCCTAATAAAAATCAGAGTTAAATTTTGGACTCCTACACCATGGTCTGAGGTTCAGTGGTTTCGCTGTAGTCTCAGATTTCCTGATTTTTCATTTTCTATTACTCTTGTGGCAGTTATCTTACATCAGTTCACCATTATTCAGCTAAATCACTGCCTTTCTCAGTTTGACAACTATTATCCAAAACAGGAACTTGAATGTTAACTAACCTATGAACTATTCTTTTGATTGATCAGTTTTTCAGTTAGCCTTAAAAAAAGTCAGAAAACTGTTTAGAATATTCATTACAAGTTGAATAAATGTTTGATATACCGGACAAGAGTTGTGTGACATGTTTTGAGGTCCACACTGATCTGCACCTCGCTGTGTGTGTGGTCTCAAAAGGAAAGTAAAGGTCAATCAATAATGGAAATAATTGTTAGTTGAGTTCTTCTATTTCTGTCAATAGAGTGCTCAACAAATCCAAATGTTTCAGGAGCACAATTCATAACATGTACAGCCTGATTTGTCTGCATCTTACCAAATGCCAAATTTTGTGGATTTGAAACAAGTGCACTGACTTAGTTGATGATGCTAAGCAGAATCTGGTCCAGTGGAGTTTGACTGTGAGGCTATTTGGAAACAAGTGTGACACTGATCTTAATTGCAGCAGAACAGTGCCGTGGGGCCGCAGGCTCCCTTAGTGGACTGACCTGGAACATTGGTGCCTGGTGCTCAAATTATCTCTAAAAGATCATCAGGGAACTCATCGCTCTAATTTCTCAACCATCTGACCCAGCAATGATGATGAAAGATACACAGTTTTTGCGATGTAGCTACAAATAAAGTAGATATCTTGAGAACATAGCTGCTATTTGCACCAGGTATGTCTTTGTGCGCATGTGTAAAAGAAAATATTTGGGTTCTTTTCTGTCAGACACCTATATTTTCTTACAGTTTTCCATCAATAACTGCATATAGTTTTCTAAAACTTGATGGAGTTTAACAACTTTAGCACAGATGATTGTCTGTTGCTCTTTCTTGTAAGATGTATGTTTACCAAAAATGGTAAATCAGCAGTACTTTGATGGCACTTTGACATTTAACAACCCCTACCTTTGTTTTATGCTTTATCTGCAGTTGAAGACTGGGACAGTTTCCAGGCTATTTTGGATCACACCTACAAGATGCACTTCAAATCCGAGCCCAGTCTGCATCCGGTGCTCATGTCAGAAGCATCGGTAAGTTTGAGTTAAACAACACAGGCTACATGTGCTTCGATCATATAAAAGACAGGTGGTTTGAATCAATCAGAATCAGAAGTTTTCTTTGTTAGAATTTGAAAATCTGATTCTACCTTCAAATTCACACTTTTACTTAAATACTCACAGTAGCTGGTGTCCTTTGAGATACCTTTAAGATCAGGGTGTGGTGAGGTAAGAATTAGAAAGTGCACCAACCCCTGAGCTAGGCAAAGATTTCCTGTGCTGGTCCTCATCATCTTACAGAGAAACTGATCAATTTGTGTTGTGCTGATGGTGACGATGTGTTGTGTTTTGTGTCTGCAGTGGAACACGCGAGCGAAACGAGAGAAACTGACAGAGCTGATGTTTGAGCATTACAACATTCCCGCCTTCTTCCTCTGCAAATCAGCTGTGCTGTCTGCGTATCCTTTACTGTTTCACTTTATCCAGAAAAACATGGGTCAGAGCTGAGTCATTTAATTGTCCCTTTACAGTTTGATAATGGTCTCAGAGAACCTTTTCTCTTATAAGTTTGTCGGAGGAATATTGTATGTTATTTGTATTACTGTATTACATTTCCTTTACTCTTGAGTGTCTAAGCTTTGCGAATGGGCGGTCTACAGGCTTGGTCCTGGACAGCGGTGCCACGCACACCACAGCCATTCCAGTACATGATGGCTATGTTCTGCAGCAAGGTAAAAACACTAATCATTATTAAATATGTTGACAGTCTTCCGTCAGATTTTACTTGGTGTACAAGTAACCCAGGGAGGAAAAACAACACTTAAAGAGCATTAATAGTCCTGCATCCTTCACAGATGCAGGTGCCTGTGACTTAGGTTGCCATCTGCTGGTTGGAGCAAGCACTGTTGACTCACAAGCCAAGCCAGCTATTCTTACAGTGAACTGTTACAAGCTTCTCTTTCTCTTACAAACTATTGGTGGGCAAGTATAATTTTCAATGAAACATGAGGCTTGTACATCTCTTAATACTTCCAGCTCCTATGTGCAGATGTTTCCCCATTTAAATAACTTTTCAGAATTAAACCAAGACGCATTGTAGAGCAGAAAACAAAGGCGGGGGTTGTTAAATGTCAAAGTGCCATCAGAGTACTGCTGATTTACCATTTTTGGTAAACATACATCTTACACCATCGCACAGTGAAGGTGGTGACGCATGCAGCTTTAAACAGAGTGTGGAGCTGCTGTATTATAAGTAAACATGGTAGAGATTTACTGTGTTATTTATTCCCTCTACCAGGCATTGTCAAATCGCCCCTGGCTGGAGACTTCATGAGCATGCAGTGCAGGGAGCTGTTCCAAGAGTTAAATGTTGAAATAATCCCTCCTTACATGATTGCATCAAAGGTGAGAACTGCTGAAGTGAAACTGTCATTCATCTTAGAAGCCCTAATTTTAGTATATTAAGGTGTATTAGGATACATTTAGTAGGCCTTCTCATGCTATCACACTGACACCCAAGTTATTTGCAGACTGGAGCCAAACATTAGCTGTAAATAAATGTTAGTGTTAATTTTAACCTGTTTGGTGTGCAGGACAGGTGCAGATGGTGTTGGGTATCCTTTGAGTTACAATAATAATAATGTATTCATACATGCTATGAATGTTATTATGTAATCAGTCATATAACACACAAAGTGGAGGTTTACATATTAAGTCTGTATTAGGCTTTAATGCCACTTGTAAATTCACTGTTTTTTCTTCATAATTACTTATTAAAGTTCACATCAGTGACATCTTTGTTTTATATGCTACAGTTCTGATATTTATCAGGTGTTATGTGAAACATTTAGGTAACATCTGTTTTTACTGATAGTTGCCCATTGATTTTATTCCTGCATCTCTGCTTTTATTGAAGTTAGAAAAACAAAAAGGTGCATTATAAATAAATGAACTATATTGTTATTACAGGATGCAGTGCGAGAGGGGGCCCCAGCCAGTTGGAAGAAAAAGGAGAAACTACCTCAAGTCACTCGCTCATGGCACAACTACATGTGTAATGTAAGCAGCAATGTCTTTGACTCTTCTGTGGTAAATGGTCTTTTACTTGTATAGCTTTTCTATGCGTTACAGCACACTCAAAGTGCTAACCTTCCAACTAGGAGACAACCTGCTCTAGCTCCTGAGCTACACCCGCCCCAAAATTTAGTGTCTTCAGCTTGTTTGTATTAAAGCTACAGCATGTACCTTTATTCATATATTTTTGTTGTAGAAATCTGCTGTAAAACATGTCTTAATGTGGAGAGATGCTGTCAAAGCTTCCTCTGACCCAGATCCACTGAACAGCACTGACAGCAGGCAGAGGTTTTAGCTTCTAAAGGTTTTTGAGTAGGATTGACCTCTAACCAATTGGAGATTTTCATGTGTTTCTGTTTGATCAGCAAGTCTTGTTGCATCCTCATTTATTGTAATTTTATAACAACGAATATCTGAAGAGCTGGGTAGAGCATGGCATAGCGTAGCAGATCATAGTAAAGCACAGTGGAGTAGGGAGAGGGAGTGCTGGGTGGAGCAAAGTGGACTGATTTGGAGTTTCATGCTAGTGCTACCTTAAGTTACACACTGTAACTTTAAGCTTGCAATAATATGCAAGTCTTCACTTTGTTATTTTGTATTGGTTGTGTGATTATGAATGTGTATGCCTTAATGTTTGCAGTGTGTGATCCAGGACTTCCAGGCATCTGTGCTACAGGTGTCAGACTCGCCATATGATGAACAGTAAGGAAATTATTTGCAGCGTAACATGAATGCATCCATTACATAGATGTTTCTGCCATTGTTCAATAGTTGCTCAAAAATTCCGGTCTTTATAGGCGCTAGGAAAGGACCGGTGCAGTTGCAGAACTTCTACACATGGCTGTCAGTCTGCAGAAACTAAGGGAGTTTGGGGTTAACATTAACATGCATTTTGTCAGCCAGACATGATTTATTTTGCAGGAATGAACAGCTTGATGTACAATATACTGTATTTTACTTTATCCCTCAACTTTTACAAAGGTTAACATCCTCTTGCTAAATGTTTAAAAGACACACACAATCTCTTCTCTTTCAACAGGGTGGCTGCTCAGATGCCCACAGTGCACTATGAGCTGCCTAACGGTTACAACTGTGACTTTGGGGCAGAGAGACTGAAGATCCCAGAGGGGCTGTTTGACCCCTCTAATGCCAAGGTGTGTGCTCTGCATGCTCTGTTAAGTTTCCCAGTGGCCCTAACAGTAAAGGCAGAAATAATGTCTGTAAAACTGCACCCACAAAATCCTGCTCTGAATAAAGAAGTCAGCTCTGTCATAATAAGTTGATAGCGCTTCCAAATGTGTTTCCTGTTATGTTTTATGACTTGGTTTTGTGAGTGAATGTTTGGTCTAATCATTTCAGGGCCTGTCTGGAAACACCATGTTGGGAGTTGGCCATGTGGTGACGACCAGTGTGGGAATGTGTGACATTGATATCCGACCTGTAAGCATGTGCCATCATAAACATGGGTTTTAATTTTTACTGTGGATAAAATAGACTCATTGTTCTTTTATCTACTCCCATTTAAATGTTAAAGATTTAGCTGATGGTCCTAGATAGAATGAATTTCAAATGAGTGAACAGGTAAAAGGATCTTGTTTGACTGAAGATGGCTCCTTCTCTAGTGACAACAAATCACTAACTGAAGTACCTGTAGACAAGGGTCTCACTAACTGAAGTACCTGTAGACAAGGGTCATAGCAGCAAAATTGGTACCAAAAAATGTACATTTTAACTCTAGCCCTGTGAATTGCAACGTTTAGTTAGTGTGTCTGTGTGTTGCACTTCAGTTTTATTGTTCATTTTTCAGCACTGCTATAAAAACTAACTGTCCTTTGTTGTGTTTTAGGGCTTGTATGGTAGCGTGGTGGTGACTGGAGGAAATACGCTCATTCAGGGTTTCACAGACCGACTGAACAGAGAACTCTCACAAAAAACGCCCCCGGTAAGTGAACGTTACTACTTGTCCACATACATTGCAAATTCTAGTTCTCTGGTCATTTATTTTTGGATAATTTATGGGGTCTGATCTTATGTAATCCATAATGGAACACTATTTCCTGTCTGAGCTGTCTGTGATTTGCAGAGCATGAGGCTGAAGCTGATAGCCAACAACACTACAGTTGAGCGCCGTTTCAGTGCCTGGATAGGAGGCTCCATCTTGGCATCACTTGTAAGGACACACACAACATATTTTTTATTTTCATGATGTTAAAAAGATCATAGCCACTGTCTCTAACCTGATCATTGGCCATTCTGTTTTTGCAAGCTAATGGGACCAGAATGTAAAATAGTATCTAAGTTCATTGAATAACTTTGTGGTCATGTATTACCCCAACACAATCACTAACTAACAAGGAAGATTTTAGTTATTCTGCAAACGGCATCAAAGCAGACCTTTTTTTTCCCCCTCTACCAGGGAACCTTCCAGCAGATGTGGATCTCCAAACAGGAGTACGAAGAGGGGGGAAAGCAGTGTGTGGACAGGAAGTGCCCCTGATTTAATACCAAACCCTTGTCCCCATCACTGTTGTTGCCAGAAGCTCATCATAAATCATTCAGTTCTCAGCCAGGACTCAAGAACACCTGTAGAAGATCTTTTGTTTTGTATGAGTTGTTTTTAATATGGAGTTTGGCAATGTCTGGCTTGGATTTATTGTAGAAATCAGACAAACCTCACTCAACTGTCGCTATGATGAGATGGGGTCTATGTCCTAAGTCTGTTCCCTTACTTTTAGGCAGTTGGTGTTTTGTGGAAAACTTGCAACAAAGCAAGTTTTTATTGGCTGGTACTGCTGTTCCTAAAGTCAAGTATTTGTTTGCACAATAGAAAAACAACATGAGAACATGAAAGTTATTGTGCAAGGTCTCTACAGAATATTGACAAACTGGGTCATTATGATGTGTACTGCGTTTGGAGGGACAAACACATTTTTGTTCATAAGCAATTTTTTGTGTGTAGGAAGCTCATCACAAGCAAAGACCAATCAGTCCTTGCCTCTTGTTTACTGGCGTGGGTGTCAGCTCAAATCTATTTAATTTTCACTTTTGCTTGTCATTACCTACATACGGTCTTTTTGGTAAATACTTGGATTTTGTTATAAAACTGCAGTAGCCTGCTTTTACACTCAAGCATTCTTATGTTACTGGCCTGTATTTACTGGAATGTGTCGTTAAAAATTTCAGATTTAAATGGTTACCTGGTGTCACATGATCCCAAAACTTTAAAGCTACAGTATGCAACCCCCACCCCAGTTGTAGAAATATGCTCCCAAACTTGTCTTAATGTGGAGAGGTGCTGTGACCCAGACTCATTGAACAGCACTGGCAGCAGTGCAGCGACATTACCTTGTGATTGGTTAGAGAGGACGATCCTGCTCAAAACCCATCAGACTACCAGTAATTTGTTTGATCAGCAAGTTTTGTTCTGTTCTCATTTCCTGTAATTTCATAATGACGTATCTGAAGAGCTGAGCAGAGAGAGGGAGTGCTGGGCAGAGGAGAGTGGATTGATTTTGGATTTTCATGCTGGTGCTATGTTAAGTTGCATACTGTAGTTTTAATTATTAACCTTAGACTCAAAACACTGAGGAGAAAAATGTTCCGTATCAGAGTTTTAATAAGTATGAAAACAATGAGAAAAATAATTCAGGGTGATGTAGCATAACTGAACAGTGAAGAGTTTCAGACCATCTTCAGGTATTTGAATGGCGCCGAGTCCGAATTGCTGAGTTTATCCATAATCATCTGGGCAGATTAAATATGGAGAGAAGTTTGTGAATGGGCAGATACCAGGCTCACAACTGTTAGTCTCCTTATTAGCAAAACAGGAGCCTCAAATTTCATGATGAGGGAACCTTCATGTGAGGAAACCTCTCCTTTAGTTTGGCGAGAGTTCTCTTCTTCAGGTTTGTTTTCCTGTACTTGTCCCGAAGATATTTCTCTATACGCAACCTGCAATTAAAAAAAAAAATTATTTTTTTGGATAAGGCAACTTAAGAGCTAAACTTTGTTGGCACTATTTTTACACTAAAACGTACATGTCATATGTGTCATGCAGTATCTTACCTTATATGTGGCTCGACAAACTTGGGCGTGTAGAACCTCTTTCGCATGTACCTTGTATTCATGTACCAAGGAATAGCATACTCTTTGAACCGATACCTGAGGAAAGGAAAAAGTTTGTGTGTATCTTTTCTAAAGCCTGGCACTTTCAAAATACTTTTACAGACCTCCTAAAGAAAATCTAAAATTAGCTTGACAAATAGTGAAGTTCTGTTGAAAAAGTGAGACCTGGTTTGAACAGTAACAGCTCATCGTGACTATCAACCTGACAAGAATTAAAAAAAAAAAAAAAAAAATTAGCTGAAAGTATATCTTAAAAAAACAAACAAACAAACAAAAAAAACCCATTCATTTGCTCAATACTGCAAGTGTGTTTTTGAACTCCTGTCACGCTCTACTTAGACCTTGAAAATGGCCTGGTTCCCCAATTTGCAAGAGTGGAATGGTCATGTTCACAAGGCTAATTAAGGGCTGATATTTCTCTCCATGTTTGTGCGACATGTATATGGAGACTGCGCTCACCAGTAGATGTATCCCAGTACATTCCTCCTCCAGGCTCCTGGTCTTCCTTTCTCCTGTCCTGTCTGCAGCAGGCGCAGTGTTGTCTCTCTCTCCTTTGCCACGGTCTCTAGCCTGATCAGCGATCGTTCAACCTGGAGAAGAGGAAGACAGCGAGGTGTGCTCTTTCTTTACTGCAGCAAACGCACACAATACTGCACAAACCCTGTATCCCACCCAGCTCTGTTAAAAGCTGACCCAAATCTGATCTGTCACATGTAATACACTCATTCTACAGTAACAGTAGAGAGTTCTGGTGAGTTCATACCAACCTTCCTTAATCTTTCTGGACTTGGCATCGGAACCCTTTGCCTTTTTGATTCCTGTTCAAGTGTGAGCAGCATGTTCTTTTCTTTCAGGAGTACATACCTGAGACAAAATGAGTGTTACAATTGATACATGTTTGTACTGAGACGCACCTGTACTAACATACTGCCCACACCTCTTACCAGAGTTTATGTAAATCCTCATTGCTCTTTGTTCTCAGATGTTTGGCACTCCACGGTGCACCTACAATATTATGACTTATATGTACATTATCTTTTGGGGTTTTATTCACAACATCGTCAAATGATACAGGTGACATGCAGAGATGACCACCCTAACAACTGAAAACTATAATTTAACATTTTCCTGTTATTAAAGCAACAAGCAGACTGTCCAGCTATTGTCTTCAACGAATGTGATGTTATAGTTTTAAAGTTTTACCAGACTTCACAGTTTCCTCTCCCCAGTTCTCAGGGAAATCAAAGAACTCGTCCAGTCCTCTCCTGCTGATGGTTGTGTGCAGAGTTCGGTACTGACTCACAGAGCTGATGGGGCTGCACCAAGATGGGAGAATGAAGGGAAATGTTTCCCTGGTGAGTGCAACATACACACAGTACGATTTTAAGGGATAATCCACCCTAAACCCTTCAGAATTGTAGGCGTTTGCCTCCCTCAAAATGTTACATGGTTCATTTCCTTTGGTACCTTGCAGAAAAGTGCATGCCTTAACACTTGTTGGATGTTTTATATTCTATTTATTTGCATAGTAACAGAAAATAAAATTTAAAATCAAATAGCAAACATGTTAAAACCCAAGGAAAGAATGATAATGCAACAGATCTACCAGTACAGGAAAAATCCAAGAGCCTTACTGCGTGGTTCCTCTTGAAGATTAAACATTAAAATTTCAGGACCAAGACAACGAATTTGCTAATTAAATGATGTGATACTGTTATCTGAAAATTCAAAATAAAAACGTACTAGCAATTGACAGTTTTTAAAAGGACCTGGGGATGGTTTACTACATTATCAGTGGCGGTTCTACATTGAATTACTCCCCGGGCGAGACCC